TGGTATGTATGCTGGCACCATTGAGGAACTACTGCTTCGGAAATAGAGGCGTGGCTTAAATTCGATTGGTTTTGCCTGTGATCTCCTGCAGCCGGAGCTTGTGGATATGGCTCCATGGCTCTGGGCTTCGATGGAGGCTATGTCGCAGCTGGGAGCTCCGCCATTCACAGAGGGGGTGTTGGCTGTGGAGCATGCTTCCAGGTCAGAGATGAAGATCATCTGAACATTGATGTGGATCCAATTACTTCGGTTTTGGAGGTAATCATGTATGACTAAGCTTTCTTTTCTTCACCACACAGATCAGATGCAAGAACACATCACTCTGCAGCACCGGAGGAGTGAAGGTGATCCTGACAGACCTCAACAAGAGCAACACCACCGATTTCGTGCTCAGCGGCCCTGCTTTCGCGGCCATGGCACGAAATGGCAAGGCCCAAGAGCTCAAGAAACTTGGCATCTTGGATGTGGAGTACAAGAGGTAAAAGGATCCTTCCCTCCTCATCTGCATTGACAGCTGCCTAAAACTCTGTAGACCCCATTCCCAGGAAAGTTAGGTCCATCCTGCTTCCTCTCTCAATCTCAACAATGGAATTTGCACCCAAATGAGTCATCTCAGCTGTGTACTGTGCGATGCGCGTGCTTACTTCTCCATGTTTAAGCAGGATTCCCTGTGAGTACAAGAACCACAACCTATCAATCAGGGTGGAAGAGAACAGCAAAAGTCCCAACTATTTGGCCATCAAGTTCATGTACCAGGGCGGTCAGACTGACATAGTGGCAGTGGATGTCGCTCAGGTAATGCTGGTTTCCGACACCATTAGACTGCGTGTGGTGGTGGTGGCGGTGGTGGTGACGATGCTCTCTCTTTGAACCGGCGCAGGTCGGGTCAACGAACTGGCGGTTCATGAGCCGGGACTACGGTCCGGTCTGGAGCACGAGCCGGGCGCCGGCCGGACCGCTGCAGCTCCGGGTTGTGGTGACGGGCGGCTACGACGGCAAGTGGGTGTGGGCGCCGAAGCCGGTCCTGCCGGCCGAGTGGAGAACCGGGTCGATCTACGACATGGGTGTTCAGATCACCGACGTCGCCCAGGAAGGCTGCTTCCCTTGTGATCCACAAGACTGGAACTGATACTAGAATCCCGTCCCTTTCTTCTTCTTCATCTTCTTCTTGATTCAGGGATACTAACCTAAAGGAGATTGCAATGCTTGTTTCCTTATACACGTTCATGTGTTTTTTGCGAAGATAAAAACAAGGTGCCAAGATTTGACGCAGGAAAATCCGGTTAGCAAATGACTTTGCTGTCTGCCGATCTCATAGATTATACATATAGCCTTCTGTTCTTACTTCAAACTCTGCTACTGTGTACATGTGAAGACCTACAAGTAGGTTAGCTAAATAGCCTTGGAAGTTTCTTGGACACGCATGGTCGTCGTCCATACAAGTCTCCTGTAGCGGGTGATCTTGTAGTTAACCTAATTACCACTGCATGTGACGGAGGAAGACAAAAGGGTGTAAGTCACACAAAGTCATGCATACTCGTGGCCACTCACCTACCATTTCTTTCTTGTTTGCTTGGATGGTCATCTCTCAACAACTAATGATACAAATGATGGAATCTTGAGCTCAGATTTCACCAAGATTCTGGAACTTGATGGTGGAGAGAAGTAGAGTCGATTCTTGGAGAACTCAGTTTGCATCTGGATCGCAATATTACTAGTGGATTTAGAGAGGGCAAAGAACAATGCAGGGGAAAAGATGGAAGGGGACCATGAATGCCTTATCCAAGTTGATGTGAAGAAGCTAAACATTAGGGAAATACATATGGATCATTAAGGACCAATCATAATAGAGGAGCGACCAACTTTGGTCCTCATCTTCCTTTGATAGAGATTTGTGAACAGCAGAGAGGCTAGCTGTTTAAGATTTGTGGCTACATCGAGCACAACCATGAACAGCTTATCCTCTTAATGGATACCAATCATTCTAAGTTATCCCTGCAGTCCCTTCTATCCGAAGCATCAAGCCAACACTTGGCTCACCAAGAGAACGACATGGGTGTCACAAGTTTTGAGTTAGGGCTTTCAAAAATTCTGGCGCTGGAGTACTTGGCAATTCAGAAACCTTCCTTTGACAATGCCAATTGCCAAGTCTACCTGCTGATCTCTATCTAACCTATGCGACCTTGATTCATCTTTTCTCTCTCCTCTTGTCTTTTCCTTTCACTACTGGTTGGGTTTCCGACCTTCTTCTCTTGCTCCCTTCAAACAAAAAACAAGCTGTCAGGAGTGAGTTAAATCTTGGATCAGAAACTTCAGCTGAAACATTCAATGTCATATAGTAAATTGCATATCACATGCTCATTTATAGTTTCTGCCAACTTAGCTTAATGGGTTCATTGACTCCAAATAAAAACTCTTCTGAGTTGGATTCATTGTTTAATGCATGCAACACAAGCAGCGGAAGAGTGCCAGTAGAAACAGGTCTCCTTCAGATGGTGGTAGCTGGTGACCACAGCTCGTTCCTCTCTCTTAGCTTTGCCACATTGCTTGCAGCGGTTTCCTTTAGACTGGTTTTTGGTTTTTCGACCAAACTCACAGCATCACATGGTGAACAAAAACAAAAACAAACAAGCCAACAAAAAGGTTGTCTTCTTGACACCTCTTTTGGGCAACAACTATGCATCAGCAAGTAACATTCAGCCCATTGTCAAGAATTGGCAGCTCGAATGCATCAAGATAATTTGGTCACACCATTGTCAAGAAGTACACCTAACAATTTTGACATTTATATCCTTGGAAATTGATTTGACATAACTATAGTATAATTATTTGAAATGCAATACATTGATTGGCATAATTATTTCGAGTCTAAGTTTGAGCGTAATTGTAGATCAAAGTATGTATGTATTGTAAGAAATTAAATGAAGAAGATAGAAGATAGAAATTATAAAAGAAGTAATATTCTTCAAGATGTTCTCCATATTTATAAGCGTTAGGAGGGAGGATTTTCTTTAACAGAGCAACGAGATTTTCTCGAGAGATGTTTGCGTATATACATTTAGGTATATGTCTTATAAAAATTGTTTAATTCATGTCATTTAAAGATATGGTACAATTGGTGTTAACATAGCTTCTAAATGCACACTTAGTCCAACTATAATTGATGTCAAAAAAATATAAAAATTGATATAAAAACCTTTGGATCTGAATTTGCATGTATAAAAATACATATTTAAAAGTGTTAAGCTTAGAAGGATTAATGCATGTAATATTATCTCTAAATAGAATCAATACCAATGCACACTCTCATGCCATAAAAATTAAGAAAAAAATGTGCATGCAAGATGGATCAGTTGCTGCCAATTGCCGAGTAGTAGCCAAATGGGTGTTTTCATATGAAACATGCTCCAAAAGCCCACAAGAAATGCATGTCATTTATCTTTAGGCATATTTAACGTCGGTGCTATAAAATAATAAAAAATAAAAATATATGCTTTCAGCAAATTCTTCAAAAGCTTGCTATACTTGTGTGATAACATTAGTCCAAACTGTTCACTATGCATCTTTGTGAGGGAAATTAACATAGAAAAAGAAAATAGCTGAACATGATAACTTAGTGCAATATGCAGTCCATTTAATACGGTAAGTAAATTTTGCTTGTGCTCATATTTGCTGTTCCATATGTAAAATTGCTTGTGAACAACAATATATATAAATTAATCCAATCATCAAAAAGAAAATTAATTGGTACGGACTTGATGGGATATAAAGAAAAATAAACTTTTATATATGAACAAATACTAGCAGGTCATAACACAATAAAATTAAATGGAATCATAATCAAATAGAACACCAAGATTTACGTGAAAAATCTCTCCAATGTGAAGGGTAAAAGCCACGGGATAAACTAGAGATAATCCACTATAAAAATAATGAATATATAAATCTTAATCTCTTGCCTAAAACCTAATAACAATGAGAATATTATATACAAGGATCACGTCACAGTGCACAATATTTAAATTCTCCTCCAAGTAATTATAGTAAAAAAATTCTTCTATTCTTTTATTTTTTTTTACCTTTTTCTCATTCTTCTTGAATCAAATTGTTGTTACAAATTTTCTCCTTTTTTTTTTCCCTCGTTGTTATAGTTTTCTTCCTAAAATACATAACCGTCACATCTTTAAAACCCACTATGGGATAAACTTGATGAGCTGTTAGCTCAACAGGACTTAGCCTTCTTGAGCTTGAGATCGTGGGCTGCTGTTCCATTCGTCCTAGTTCTTGAGATCACTTTAAGTGAAGCAATTTAAATTATACTACTATTCTTTAGTTCATCTTTATTTTCATGAACATTTATGATATTTACCATGAGGATTTGAACGACCATCAACAGAGAGAGAGAGAGAGAGAATAAAAGAACAGGAGGATAAACCAGCAAAATCTGAGATGAAAGGATATGCTAGAAAGAAACGATGGGATTGAAGAGGGAGAGAGAACAGCTCAAGCTCAAGCTCATTCCAGGATGTCTCCAGGGCAATATATATATATATATATATATATATGTTGGAGTGCCCTACCTCTATCTCCAGCTGCTGACAACCCAAGGCAAGCAATGGCAAGCAGACGTGCAACCTAATAATGCGTTTCCAATCTTTAAACTCTTCATGATTTGCTTATTGCTTTTATTTCTCCAAATAATTTCTAATTAAATATCAAATAACCTATGAGCCAAAAGCAAGAAATAAACATTAAAATAATGTTAGAATATATATATATATCATTGAGTTAACAGAATTACGCTCAACGACTAAAAATTTAAATTTACTGTATATTAAAACAATTTATCAATATAAAAATTGACAAAAAATTAAAAAGGAGAGGCACAATGATTAAAGAAAAACAACTCAACATTTAGGGCCTATTCATTATTGTTCGTTCCAATAATGTTTCTTCTATAATGTCTAGTGTTTCCTCGAGTAACGGCTTCGACAGCGCTTTGGGACCCACATTTGGACCAATTGACGTCTGCCAACTGTATATCGCATGTGCTGATATTTTCAGAATAAAGCAAATCTTTGGATACCGACATGCTGATTTGGGAGTTGACCCAAAGGCGTATACTTCGTCAGGCGTGTCTCCCTCGGCCGGCCGGGAGATGCAATGGAGCGATCCTAAGGGTAAGCAACCACGAGAAAGAGCTGCTTGCCGAGCCCAAAGAAGAGGACACCCTTAAGAGACCTCTCCCCCCTCCTGCATCCATGCATTCCTTCGCCTGCCTCTCTAACCTTCCACCTCCTCACTCTGCTACTGCGTCACTTCCTTCATAAAAGGAGGAGGAGGAGGAGAAAAGATGGTCGTCGGGAGAAGGTTCCGCCGGTCAGAATCCTTCCCGGCTCTCAAGGCCGCCGCTAAAAGCGCTTTCCGCTCCCGATGCATCAGTCTCCCCTCCCGCTCCCACCCCTTCGCCGCCCACCTCGCCGACGACCTCCAATCTCTCCGCTCTTGGCCCCTCTCACCCTCCTCCGCCTCCGATGCGGTCCACTGGATCTGTAATGGCCTTGCCCGCCTCCACCTCCTGCTCGCCAGCCTCTCGGACGTCCTCCAGCTCCCCCAGGCGCAAGAACCCCTCCGGCGAGGCCACCGCCGCTCCCCCGCCCTTGCCGACCGCCTCCTCGATGACTTCCTTCGCCTCGCCGACGCGCACGGATCCTTCCGCTCCGCCACCCTCGCCCTCAAGCAAGACCTTGCAGCCGCACAGGTCGCAGTCCGCCGTCGCGACGAGCGGCGCCTCGCGTGCTATGTCCGCGCCCAGCGCCGCGCTCGGAAGGAGCTGGCCGAGCTCGCGGCGGCCGCTCGGGAAGTCAAGAAGAGGCCGCAGCCCGGTCCCGCCACCTGGGCGGCAGCCAACGCAGAGGAGGCGGAGGTGGCGAGGGTCATAGGGGAGGTGGTCGTCGTGGCCGCGGAGGCGTCGGCGGCGGTGTTCCTCGGCGTCTCCGAGATGGCCGCGGCGGCATCGTCAGCGGCTGCGGCGATGGCCCCGTCTCGGTTCGCATGGGCCAACGCGGTTCTCAGGTGGAGGACGAGAGCGACGTCGAAGCCACCGAACAAGAAAGCGTCGCCTGAGGAGAAGAAAGAGGAGGTGGCAGCAGGGGAAGAGGAAGAGGAGGAGGAGAAGTGGAGGAGAACGACGCTGGAGAGGCTTGGGAAAGCGGAGGAAGGCGTCCCGTCTTTGGAGAGCGCCGGCGAGCTGGTCTTCAAGTCGCTGGTCAACGTCAGGGTCACCCTCCTCAACGTTTTGACTCCCGCCCTCTGAGACATTTCTTTTCGGAGAAATATAAGCAGCAAAAAAAAGGGAACGTAAAACAATAATATCCTTGTAAAAATAATATTTGAAATGATAAAAAAAAACCTTATTTTTAGTTTTATGTATTGAACCAGCAAAAATGTCACATTGATTGACTTATATGTTACGGTGATGATGATGATGATGATATTTGTGTTCCTAGAGTTAATGACTCGTAAAGCTTCATTTAATCCAAACCGATTTTAGGAGAAGGAAGAGAACAACTAACTTGGATTGGTCGTTTGATCCGATCCTAGTTTGGATCTCGTCTTAGCCCGATCATGACATCGACTTAGCTTTCGCTAGATCTAATTATCGCTTATTTGTATAGAGATTGTTAGTGTAAACACCTTTAAGCCGTGGCCTCGGGACCGACGCGGCTTGGTTCGGGTCTGAATGTCGGGGAATCGCCCAAACGTCTCCTGGGAGCCCTTCGCCTGCACGCCTGGTATTAGGCGCCTCGTCTCCGGTCCTGCACACGGGTCGGGTCGGAAGCTCGGCCCGACCTCTCCGACGATCAAGTTAGTGATGTGGAGTGGCGTGATCTTCCCCCCCCCCCCTTTTTTGCTTAGAACACGGGGGGTATTTATACGAGAGCTTAGCGTTACCTGAAGCGCCTGTCCGCAGGGAGCAGGATCATACATCTGATGGCGTCTGACATTGTGGTTGGCGTGTCGTGAGGAGGCGAGCCTGAGCGGTCGTTAATGGGCCTCCGTTGGCGTTTTGGCCCATGCTGGCCAGGTGTTGTCAGTCTGTCAGAGGCGCGGGGCGTCAGCTGATGTTACAGGAGTCTTATCGTAATTACCACCCAGATGACAATGAATTAGATTTTTTAATATATTTATATCTAATGGAACCATTTAAATTGATGAGGATACATAATTTGGTTTTGGATGAAAAGTGAGAGATAATAAAAAAAAATCATACGATGATATAAGGGATCTAATCCAATAGTTGTTATTTGTTGCATGATAGTCGCTGAGCTCCTATCACATTAGGCGCAAAGTTCATATCCAACCTAAGTAAATCATTTATTTGTCCTCAATCATCAAGTATACATAAGCATATATAAGACAAAATACTTGTTTATCATGTATCAAACTCATATATATGAAAATATATTCATAGATAAATTATTATATGTCAGTAAAAACTCATATAAACGAAAATGTATTCATAAATAAATTATTGTATGTCAATAATACGTTAAGTGTATCAAGATGAATGCATCCAACATGTGAGATAGAATTGCTTTACGTTAGCTCTTTTCACATGTAATCTTTTTTTCTAGAACTACTTGTCATATCAATCAACAAAAGTCAGAAGTGCATAATTTATTTTTGATTCAATTTCATAAACAAACTTTTTAGATGATCAATAATATTAAGAAGGATAATTGGGGAATACTTTTGGTAATCAAGATCTTAATTTTTATATAATGTCCTAAAATATCCCACATGTGAGGATCAAGATCGGGTTGATTGGATTCAACATACATAACTTGATCATGATATAATTCTACGAGTAGATCATCTACAAATTAGATCATATATTTACTTCCATTTAATATCCTAAATTAACATAATTGGTTGTCAATTAATTGCTAGATTTAATTCGATTGCATTAGAATGTTCTTAATATTTTTAGTCTTGCAAAGTAAGAGTTGTTGCATTAGGATCATGTTCTAAAGTTAGCTTGTTGGACTCTCTACGACTCAAGTGTTTGCTCATTTGGTCGTCGCATTTGCACCACTTGGTTGGGTGGACACTGCTACACTAACTCAACAAAATAGGCGAAAGCTTGTGGGTATAGTTGTCCGGATCGGTCGATGAGTAATGAACCATTGGCCCCCGCTATAGTAGTAGACGACTCCCAAAACTTTGAGGTTCTACAATGATGGATTTAATAGTGTACGACTTATTTGATCAGTCTAGACCTTACAAAATTAATGGGCTTGGACTCCGATCGCACGTTAGAGGATCAAAATAGTGGCCTTGAGCTAGCTTGAGCGATGGTACCACTAGGCTCAGGAGGTGATAGGTACTGCTTGAGTCGATCGATAAACACAAACAGTGCTTGTCAGCGGTATCGATGGTGGTACCACTTAGGGCGATGATGGTATTACATAGAATTCAAAATTTATGATGGTGATACTGTCCAAAAGTTTGATATTATGGCATCAAAAGTTATGATGATAGTACCACCAGGTGTTAGCAATAGTACTGCCCGTATCCTAAAATTTTTGGAGATTTAAAACTTTTTACTCTATTTTGAAGTATTTTGGGGTCTATAAATACCCTAATAAGGCTTAGCTTGATGGAGCATCAAATTCTAAATTTATGAAAGGTTATAGCCCTCTCTTTGAGCATCGTTTGAGTTTCTTCCTCCTTCTTGAGTTTAGAGGTGATTTTAAGTTGTAAATGGTGAGAGATCTTGTAAAAGACTTAGCATGAAGATTCTCTCCTAAGTTTATTAAAAGAAATATAACTATAACAAGGGTAGTTAATTTTCATCCATCAGAAGGAAGATCGGTAATAAAAGTCGATAGTCTCGAGGGAAGAGGAATCGAGAGTGGATATAAGTCAGAAAGATCGAACCGTTATAAATCGATTTGTATTCCTTCTCTTACTTTTAATTTGTTGTTGCTTACTCATTTACTTTACTCATAATATTTAATCATATTTTTGTTTAATCATGTTTTCGATTTGGATTTATCGATTGAAATTTAAAGTCAAATAAAAAATTTCTATAACACTAATTTATCCTCTCCTCTTAGTATCATTATGATCCGAGAGTCATGATATATTTACAGGATGAAATATAACTATAATCTATTTAAGAGTCCAAATCTAATTAACTTAGCTTGATTTACAATCTTAATCTAATTAGGAATTTCATTAAATTTTCATCATTTTTAATCAAAATATATTCCTAACCTAATTAGGAGGAATAACATATTTAAGTCAAATTATCAAAATATCCTTTTATTAATTTTATCCTAAATTTAATTATGAAAATTCTAAACTAATCATAGGTAAAAATACGAGTATAACAGCTTTTAACACCTCAATATTCTTCCTTTGATAGATAGAAAGTGTTATGGATGGCCTCAACCAACCATATTCTTAACATATACAAACTTTCCTAAATTTCTTTAGCAAGATTAAAAACTTATCATTCTAATACCAATTCGATAAGAGAGAAAAGAGAGACGCGAAATTTCGTCGGAGGACATAAACAAAGTTGTTGTCTACAACTTTCATATATACAAACTCTTTTGCAAAGATAAATTTTTAACTTAGTATAATTTGATTATTTTTGTCTTATATGGTGATTTCATCTCCTTTATGGACTAAGATCATCCTCCTTGTAATAATCATAATCATGGTTGGTTTATTGTTGTTATAGTAACATTTGAAATATAATGACCATATTTCTTGCAATACAACATTATATTTTGTTCTCTTCTATCTCCTCTTTTATATTTATCTTTTTTAATTATAAATATTATCATTTGGGGTGAAGCCTCCCACTTTTTCCTTTCATCGAACCATATCATCTAAATATCTTGATTTTTGGATACCATGGCTTATTAAACTTTATATGCAATGATTGGAAGAATTATTTCCACTGTTTGAATATCTTCATACTTTGAAGAGCACATACATTCTTTTGTCTTTCTTACAAGAATCCTTGAGAACTTCTCTTTAATATATATTTATTTAGGTGCTATATATATGTTCAAGCTCTTCATGGCCTTCATTTACCACCCCACAGTATCTTGAGATCCATATGATGCTTTCATTTGAATTCTCCACATTATGTGATTCTCATTGTTGAGACAGAAAACGTAGAAGCCAACAGTGGTCATTCGAGCTTTAACTTTGAGGTTAATTTGACAAAGAAAGAGTTGGGAATACAATTATATTATTCTCTTTCCTATTATAATTTCTTCATATTATAGCTGTCATATTTAGGGGTCAAGTATCTATCAAGGATTCATGCACCTTCTTTTTATGGTGATCTCATTCCATATAATCTTCTATTGCACCTTTTCACGATGCATTCTTCTTATTATTTATTCTCACAACGGTCTCATGCATGGGTTGGTCTGCCCAACCATTCCTAGAAATCTATACTTTCCTTCCTTCTCCTCTCTCTCTCTCTCTCTGTCTCTGTCTCTGTCTCTCTCTCTCCCTCTCTCTGTCTCTCTCTTATCAAACAAATCATACAGAAATAAATATTCTGTGTGTTTCCTCGTCCTTCTCAAACCAACTGTCGTGTGTTGGTGGAAGAAGACCGACTGTGCTGGTAGTAATGGTATCGGTGGAAGAGTCCAAGTGATAGATAGTATATGGGTTGCTCGGAGTCGAAGGTGGAGAAGCAGGAGGCCGTGGCGCTATGCCGCGCCCGGACTGACCTCCTGGAGGCCGCCATTCACCACCGAGCCGCCCTCGCCGACGCCCACGCCGCCTACTCTGACTCCCTCCTCTCCGTCTCCGCCGCCCTCCACCGCCTCCTCGTTCTCCTCCTACCCCCTTCCTACTCCTCCTCCCCCTCCTCCCCTGTTCTCCCACTCCCTGTCTGCCGCAAGCCCGAGCCTTGCCCCCCGCCTTCGCTGGTGTCCTCCGGCCGCCACTCGCACCAGGACTCCCGCGTCAGTTTCCTTCCGGCCGACTCCTGCTACAATGGCGACGACGGTACCCCGTTCTACTCCTGCGGCTCTTCTCCTGTCGAACACCTCGACCACCGCAAAACGGTTCCCAGCCAACGCGGCTTCGGCAGCATCCACTACGCCCGCAGCCGACCTCCGCCGCCTTCCGTAGTCTTTGAGCGGCCACCGCAGAGCTACCAGACCGTCCAAGTTGGCTCCTTTGAGCCTTACGCCGATTTCCCTGGATATTACGGCTCTCTGGGTGGATCCTTTGGCCCGCCGGCGATGCCGCCGCCTAGGACGATGGCGTCATCGGCATTAGGCAAGTCTTACTCCTCGAGGGCAACGCCGCCGCCCCCTTCGCCCCTGAGAACCTCCACTTGGGACTTGTTGAACCTTTTCGAGACTGACAATAACTCCTATTATCGTCATACCCCTAGCCCGAACTACCAAAAGTTGAGGGATGAGGAAGGGATCCCCGACCTCGAAGAGGA